CAACACAGGAACAAGGAAGAAAAGTTTCACAGCCTTTGGTGTTTTGCAAGTTAACCAGATGGTGGACATACTTTATGCAAAATAAAAATTTTATCAATAAAATATGATATTTTGACAGAGTATGAAGTTTTCTAGCTTCATTTTGTGGTCTGTGCATCCAGTGCTGAGCAGTGCCTAACTTGCTATCCTAATTCCTCATGTTGGGAAATTGATTTGAAAGTCAAAAAAATTGCAAAAATTATTAAGAAACTGTGCAGATGTTTAATGCCACATATATTTTCATTTGCATGCTTGTTTGCTGGCTATTTAAAAATTAATGAAGGGGAAGTCACTAATTAAAAAGCTATGGTTTAGGATTCTTGAAGACAGAAAATTATATTTATATGGCTTTTAAAATAGTGAGAGGACTATAGAGCCTCAGAGTCATGCGATGAGGAAGTTAGTGTAGGGTTCATGGGTATGGTGATTGACAACCTCTGTGTCTCTTGCTTCCCTCATCCAGGCAGGGAGTGACATGGCTCGGTGGCATGGTGAGAATGCTAGAGCGCTAATTGGTCTGGATCAGTGGTTCTCCAAGTGTTATCAGAGAGCCCTGGGGGCCTCAACAACTCTTGTAGTAGTCCTGCCAGATCAAAACTATTTTCATAATAATACCGGGATGGTAGTTTCCTTTTATTCTGCTCATCTCACAAGGATGCAGAAGAGTTTTATAAATGCTATAGGATGTGTTAAAATGTCATCATTCTGCTCTCCAGTGAAGTATGTGCTAGTGTGTAATCTTGTGTTTTAAAATTTTCTCGTTTTTAATTCCTAATATGCTAAATATTGATATTCCTACAGAAACACAGCAAACTTGAAGAGTTAAAAAGGGTGCTATGATGAAAAAAAGTTTGAGAACAGCTGTTTCAGATACATTGCTAAGTCTCATTGGGGCACCGTTTAATGTAATGCTGGAAACACCTCCTGTAGCAGGTTCTGTTATCACCCCCACTGAGCATCTGGGAAAGGAAGGCCTGGAAACTCTAAGGACCCCTGGAAGATCACATAAGGAGTGACTGGCAAAGTCAGAATTGGAACCCAGTTTTCAAATTGCTGACTGTGCTGTCAGGCGGGCTGCCTCGCTGAGAAGCACCAGGGCACGCCTGGGTTTTGACACTAAGTTCTCAGAAGAGGAACTAACTTCTCAGACTGGCGCCACCCCCAGGAAACGTGGATACGAAGGTTGTCCTCATGAACAGTGGAAAGCAGAGACCACATTCTAGTTACTTGTGGCTGAGTTTGATTTGTTACATACAATGTGAAAAACACACACAATTAGGTATCATTTTTTTAATCTGGGAAATTTTACTCCAAAAAGTTCAGATTGCCAGCTAAATTGAAGAAGTGGGAAGTCTAGCTCTGCTGGCCTGATATTCCCATACTCCCACCATCAGCTGCAGTTTATGTCACCTGTCCCCTAGTTTGCCACAAACCTCACCACTCCCTATTATCGCCCCACAGCTCATGAACCTCATTTATGTTTCCTGTTTCAGGTGTTTGGATTGGAAACAGCTGGAGAGGGCCTCTCTACTGCCTAGTGTTTATAACCATTCTGTTCTCAACTTCATTGAAACCTAAAAAGACCCTGACATCCCACTCTG